CAAAATATATAAATATATATACATACATGCATACACATACATATATATTTTTTTGAATAAAAATTCCAAGAGGATAGAATCCAGGTAGAACTCAATGTCCAGAACAGAGTAAGGATATAATAAAAAGGCTTAAACACTAATATTCCATGGTCATAATTTATTCCATTGGAATCGTAAATACGATCTAATTCATCAGACCTACAAATTCAAAAAGAAAACAGAAAAAACAACAACAAAAAAACATGTTTTTTTTTATATATATATATATATATATATATATATATATATATATATATATATATATATAAAAAAAACACTTTATGTAACCGTACACAATCTTGGTTTTTACCGTTAGGTCTCTTCAGGTGGGGATATTAAGTGTTCGTAAAACCATACTACAAATATATATATATATATATATATATATATATATATATATATATATATATGTAACTGAATTCTAATTTTTGGAATTTGAATATTCAGCAGTGCGCCTCCACTACCGAGAATCGAACATGGATCGTTACGATACAAAGCAAGCATCATGCTATTGGACCGGGGGTGGGGGTCTCGGTAACGAAGAGGAAACAAATACGTTCCCGGTAGTGGATGCGCACTATTATGAGTCCCCAAAATAGAACTAAACGGCCGTCCAGTGCTTTTCTGCATTTCTGTTGAGGTTTCTACGTCTAGACATGATGAATTATTAGGAAAAAATTATTCAAATCTCTAAAATTACTGTTCAGTTACATAATCCTATGCTATATCCAGCTTCTAATGCTCTGGATGGAGTGGCTTGGTGAAGGAAGTCGTTGTTCTTGTGGTCTGTCCTGTAGGCTATGTATACTTGGATAAGTATTCACCACCTGAAATAGAATTAGCTGCGCTATTTTAGTTACTTAGTTTCCTCTTCGTCACTGAGGCCCGCTGTAGTTCTTTTTTTTTTTTTCTGTATAACGTAATGGGTTAATCTCTTTGACCAATATTTGAAGTTTACAAAAAATATTTGTGGGACGCCTACTGCTTTATATACTTCAATGTATAGCAATGAATACTTGTACTCATGTATATATGTACGGATGTATGCATAAATCACTAATAGCATTATCCGCTCAATAAAATATTTATCGGTCTAATATATCCTCAGTTCTACCCTCTATGATTTTTTTGGGGTATATGCTAAGGTCAAAATAGCGAATATAGAAAAGACAATTTCGAATATTACTGGTCGATCGATTTCTTTTGTTAAAAAATAGAGATTGAATACGAATGTATTTTTATTGATGAGAAAAAAATCAACCTTGAAATTGTTTATCCATAGAAAACTTACCGTAACACTTATGTGGCCTGTTTAGAAAAAATCTGGCACAAGAATATTATTTGGGGAGTAAAAGTGAAAAATTGATTGTAAACAAATAGTATAGAGAACGGAAAAAATGGTATAAACGGGCATCAATTGTTTTTCGTTGAGTTTAACATATAATAAACATAAACAGTTATAATTCAATTTGACTGATGATTACGAAATAATATGGAACCAACGTTCTATATGACTCATCATTTCTTTTTTTAATTTTGAAATTTAATAAGTGTTTATACAATTAAATTTATTTAAAAAAAATATTCTTTTGAGTGTAACAAAAAGATACAATCTTTAAGATCCCAGAGTAAATTTCAAACCCAACAGATGTTAATGGTTTCATTGCGAAAAACATTTGATAAGGATTTTTAATACCTCTTCCTCATATTCTAACACACTTTTCTCACACAATGGTTTCTTCTTTGTGTCTCGTTCCATCCTGAGGATGCCTACTATAAGGGGCGAAACGCGTAGTTAAATAGCTTTTCCAGTTTGTCTCATTATCTCCACATACCAAAGTAAAAAAAAAAAGACATAAAGACGCCATTTTTCAGGACGTTTTTGAGAATAAAGATTTTGGTACTTGGATCTATAATGCACATATAGAACTTCATTTTTAACATTAATGCCAAGTCCTACTGAGTAAAAGGGAATTAAGGGATAAAATTAAAATTTGACAAATAAGAAATTCTTTTAGTCCGATAAGCACTGAGTAATCTTGCAGCACACACTCATATATAGACAACTGATCCACCCAGAACACCTTAGGGGTTAAATGAAACATTAAGTAGTCATACACAGGAAGTCATTGCTCAAGTAGTACTTCTCCCATGAGGAAGAACTGGGGTTAATGCCCGGAGTTTAAGTCGTTCCCAGATGAGCTTCAGTAAATTTTATTTCTACTTCCATGTATACATAGGACTATAACCTTGTGCTATATTCCATTCTAGTGAGCGTTCAAATATATACCCACTCATATACTATTAAGCATGCATAAAAAGTATATATATATGTATGTGTGTGTGGGGGGGGTATTTTTTTATTTGTAGCGATGAGTGTGGTGTGCGAAAGCCAAGTGTACAGAATTCATGAAACGAGATTATACAATAGTAAGGACAGATACTGACAAGGTATATATTTTAATGAAATTATCTACGCAGACATCCATTTATTTATTTATTTATTGGTAATCTCTGACCAGCTCCCAAAATGACCTCTGCTAATTGACCTCAAAATTCGTGTTCTTTCCCTTGTTCCGATCATTTCTTTTCCTCGGACTTGTCACGCACGTGCGAATACGGGCCGCCATTGCAGCTATATATTCATAGATTGTGAAAAACGAATAACGAAGTGGAATCAAGTTAGGGATGGGTGCAGGGAAAGATAGTCTGAGAGACAGTGAAGGTTTGGGAAGGGAATTGGAAAGGATGGATCAATAGGCAATCCAAGAAAATTTCCGGACACAACTCGAATTCTGAGTATCAACAAAACCAAGGCTAATAATTGCTGTGTGTTGCCTTGGCTCCGACTTCAAGTCGCATCCCGAAAAGAAGAGATGTGATTGGTCAATGTGCAACGCGCTCGTGACGATAAGAAATGGGTGTGGTGGAGATGCAGGGGATATCAAAATGATGTGAAATTGTCGATGTCTACTCCTGCCTCCTCCGTGAAAACAGCCATGACAGCTTCAGATAAAACTTTATAAAAAAAAATCAATGCCTATTTTCAATGTCTCATCGGAAATAAATTGCACAACTGAATTTGTACTTGGAATGGCCTTCGTCTTTCGAACTGTTACTGAGAGTTGTGAAGGTCACAAAGATTTTTCTAAAATCATTGTCGATAGAATTCCAAGAGTGAGGTTTTCTTTTGGCGATTTGAATCATTCCTCTTCGATATAATAACAGGTTATTTAAAACTGAAGAAGGGTTAGGTTTTATTTATTATAATCGCAAAATGGCGCTAAAGACATTCAGTGCTACGTTATTTGTGCTAAAGCAAACGAGAATCTCTAATACTCTTTCCGAAATATCAAAAATAGCTAAGTTTCATCGAGTATGCATGTTTTTTGTCTTTGTTTTCATTTTTACACATGATTTAGATATCATAAATTGTAGCTGAAAGCATTAAACAATCACTTGCAAAAAACAAAAAAACATATGACCAGGTGTCAAGAAATTCGGATTGAGAAAAGCTAAAGCAATTCACGGAGAAACTTATTGGAAAAACTCAATTTTGTTCCGTTTTTGGTATTTGTCAGTGTTTTAGTGAAGGAAAATAGGAAAGTTTGATTCTTTTTTATTACTGTTAAGAGAATCGAAGAACAATATTTTCAACCGTATATATACACGTATAAATCATATGTGTAATCATTAGAATCGAAAATTATTGGCTATTTTTATAAAGCGCCACTGATCGCGGTGGCAGGTCAGAGCTGTTTAAAATGCCGTCTGAATTTGACACATATTTATTTCTTGGCAGGATTTAGAGAACAGTGTGATATAGAATTGAATTTTGTAACCAGAAGCTAAATTAAATTACAGGAATATATGATAGCTGTGTTTTTATTTAATATATATTTCCAATTTTGTTTTTGAGAGAATCTGAGTAGAAGCATGTGAACATGCATATGTCATTAGATTATTTTATGCACAAGAATAATTTCAAAACTCGGTATAAGTAAATTTTGGTTTTTCTTTCATAAGCCTTAAGAAAGACTGATTCGTTTTAGTCGGATTATACTTTTGCAAGTTATTTTAAACCAGGAAATATTTTTAGATCGTAAGAAATTTTTTGCGACATAGTAATGCTTTTAGTGATAAATGTCTTACTAATTAACCCATATCTGGGGGGAGAAGAGATGGTTCATACCTTTCCCAAGACTATTTGCGCGTAAGTGAATATAACGAACTCAACAGGAAATGGAACTCAGATCTCCGATATACAATTTCGAGCCATTATCCATTACATCACAAGAACATCAAACTTTACAACACCTGGTATTCCCAAGCAGTCACCCATCTAGGTAATGACCGGTCTCGGCATTGTTTAATCTCAGGGATCATACGGAAACTGGTTTTTCACCGCTATGTGGCCGTAAGCTTTTTAAGAAAGGAAATGATTTGGATGTGTATTCATTCTGAATAGCCATGATCTGTCTGTTGCCTTCTCCACTTCTCCACTTGACTCATTCGGTTTATTTTGCTCTTTCATAGTTTTTTTGTTTGTGTGTTTGTTTGTTACAAAGTTACCAACAACCCTCGTCATATTCTACGGTGAGGAGCGGGGGAGCCGGTTTAGTATCTGTCAAAAAATGAAAGATTTTAGTATAAGCTTTTTTTTACCTTAAATTCTTTTAGAATAATGATTCTTTGCATTGGCCACCGGGTCAATAATGAGGAAAAAGAAAAAGAAAATGGCCAACTATTTTCGCTTTAGTTGAGATTCAAAAGTTAAACAAAGCATTAAGAAACAGAAAAAAACGTGAGAAACAAAAAAATGCTGAACAGCTATGTAATGCCAATCGTCTTATGTGACGGTAAATGGTGGATAAAGAGGAGACGAGGCAATAGGGATGTTGTTCTATAGAAAAATTATTCTGAGAATACATTGAACGGGGCTTGTGAGCAACGAGGAAGTTTTAAGAAAAATAGGAAGAAAAAGGACAAAAATGAAAAAGTGCAAAAAAGAAAAAGGGCAAAAAATAAAAAGGGTAAAAAAAATAAAAAGGGCAAGAAAGAAAAAGGACAAAAAAGAGAAAAGACAAAAAAAGAAAAAGGACAAAAAAGAAAAAGGATAAAAAAATAAAAAGGGCAAAAAAAAAGAAAAAGGGTAAAAAAGAAAAAGGACAAAAATGAAAAAGATTAAAAAAGAAAAAGGACAAAAAAGAAAAAGGACAAAAAAGAAAAAGGATAAAAAAGAAAAAGGTCAAAAAATAAAAAGGGCAAAAAAAAGAAAAAGGGCAAGAAAGAAAAAGGACAAAAAAGAAAAATGCCAATAAAAGAAAAAGGACAAAAAAGAAAAAGGACAAAAAAGTAAAAGGACAAAAAAAGATAAAAAAAACAATTGTACTTAAAATCAGAAAGAGGAAGTTGACATATAACGTCTAAAGAGGACTTGAAGCAATAACCGAGCAGTACTAAATAAGAACTAGAAGAGATATCCCTAGACATGATCAGTGGAACGAGAACGATCTTCCTCTGTAACTGAAATAAAGTGTTCAGTTTTAAATTTCTTGAACGTTACCCTGATCTGGGTAGCCGTAAGTCAAAAGAGTCTGCGTGTAAATCATGATAATTCCTCATCCCAGAAATTCAGATAAAAATTAGATTTTTTACATTTTTATTTTTTCATCTAGTCAAAATAAAATTTTCATGATCCTAAAATAAGTATAAAATTCCCTATTGTCTTAATTATGTCTTGTGAATGTCAATTTACAAGACATACTGGTGACAATCAGGACGGACGGAAATATCGAATAACATAAAAGAACTGGATGACAGAATATACACTAGAAAGAATAATACATAGACTAATCTTGCTGGGAACCACAAAGCATAAAACGTTGTGGAGTGCCATGATTGCCTTCGTTTTGAAAGGACACGACACATAAAAGAAAATCTATATGATTTTGTAAAACTTAGATTTAGACCAATAAGGTGAGAAATATTTCATCAGTCCCTGAATAACAATGCTACTGTGCCTAATAATTCACTAGGTTAGGTGCTAATCATGATGCTACATTTGCAGTATAGAGTAGGTATTTTGAATTCTATTCAAAATACATGTACAAGGAATTTTACCTCTAGTGTTGCGCATGGCTACTTATGAAGTTCTTATTACAAGATGTTCTGGCAGAGTTTAAGGTTTTTATTTTTTTCAAATTGGTTTGGAATATCTGTAAACAGTGAACGGCATTGTGAAACCTAATTCCTCGAGTGTTAGAGGCGTCAAAGTTGACTGACATGGACGCGTGGAAGCCACCTGAATATTTGAAAAAGCAACCTGCATGATGATGATTCATGTCGGGCATCAAAATGCCGCAATCCTGACAGCTGCTCAATGCTCTCTGAACAACATGAAAACAATAAGACGTGAAATGGAGAACTGCAATGGAGATTTGTAGGAAAGAACACGGCAGATGTTCTGATTGTCTTCGTATACCAGAATTCATAAAACAACAGCTGGAGGAAGAGATAGAAGACCCAGGCAAGAGAATGCGGGTTTTAATGCCGGAAATGGGTGATGCAATTCCTTTCCAAGAAACTCCTAAACAAGGCGAAATATTCTGTTGAACCAGGGACAATCTGGTTCTTCTCTAATGAAAATAATTTTGTCAGGACCAGCTGCACAACACCCAGAACAACATATAGCATGTCTACAATCCATATGACGTTACTCGTGTCATGAAGATCAAGTTTCCTCAAACTGTGATAGAGGAGCAATAGATTTGCGACGGTGCATCTTGGGAAAGATAGTGGTTGTCTCCTCTGGTAAGTCATTTACAGAATGAAATATTATTTGTGTTTCTCTTTTACAGTTTGTTCACAATATTTGTATGATATGAATGCAAGAGGGATTCCTTGTGACAGCAAGCATATTTAAACTAAGGTTCACCTGTCAGTCGGTTCACAGTCATCTTCGGTCTTTTGAACAGGTGCAGAGGATTATCCCTTGTTTCCTGTAATGGATTGGGTTTCCGGTTCCTTCTAAAGTCTTTTCATTCCCTTTCACTCACAGTAGGCCCTTGAATTTTTGTGCCATTATCGCCTTGCTTGAGGTGTATAGATTAAAAAATATAAAGTTGGATTTAATTAAATATGTAAATAAAGAAGTCACACTCATGAGGCACTTGTTTTTTTCATTAGTCTAAAAAACAATGTTTCTTAAGGTTTCATCTGAGCGAATTATCTTCTTTTATATGCCATGTTCTTTCAAGACATTGGCGATCATGGCTCTCCACAACTTCCTGCCATGTATTGCTCTTTATATCACTTCTTTTCTATGCTATGACATTTCAAAGCATGAGCGATCGTGGCTCTCTACAACATTTCGTCTTGTTTTGCTTAAGTAACTCTTCTTTTAAAACCTATGTTCTTTGAAGACGTTGGTGATCATGGCTCTCCATAATTTTCTACTTTGTATCTCTTATTCTCTATATGTCCTTTCAAAACATGAACGATTATGACACTCCAAAACTTTTTTGTCTGCTGTTGCCTAAGTAATTCTTCTTTTAAAACCTATGCTCTTTCAAGACATTGATGATCATGGTTCTCCGCAACTTCCTGCTATGTGTTGCTCTTTGTATTTCTTTTTTGTATGCTATGTCATTTCAAAGCAAGAAGGATCGTGGCTCTCTACAATTGTTTGTCTTGTTTTGCCTAAGTAACTCTTTTAAAACCTATGTCCTTTCAAGAAGTTGATGATCTTGGCTCTCCACAACTTTCTGTCTAAGTTAATTTCCTAAGCAGAGCTTAGATGTGGCACAAAGTCGAAAGCATTTGACACCCAGTGAAGATCGAACTCAATATTCAGTTGCAATGGTTCTAGGGAGACAGGCGTGCTATTACACCTCGTCGAGTTGCCCCAACTTCCTGTCTAAGTATGCTTGTACCTTGTCCTTTTAAGGTTTTTGTTCTGCCATCCATTTATTCAAATTCGCCCAGTAAATTACACGCCATTTCTTATTACGTCTCTTGTATTCAGTATAACCTGTGAGCGAATTGCTTCCTTCGTCGCTTCTTCTTCTTTAGGATACGGCCATATCACGTTGAAACATCGGTTCTCGTACCATCACTAAAGTTAAACAACCTCAAGCCTGGTCAATATATAGATGGGTAACCGCTTATGAATACCAGGGGCTGTAAAAGAGAGTTCCAATTCCAGTCTGGTTCGATATATTCACTTACGCACAAATACTCTTGGGAAAGGTATGAGTCCATCTCCTCTCCCCACCCTTCGATGGGTTAATTAGTATAAATTGTATCAGTAAATCATTATCTCCAAAATTTCTTATAATCTAAAAATATATTCTGGCTTTAAATAACCTGCAAAAGGTTGATAAGCTGTTAAAAAATACAAATCAATCAATCAAAAAATACATCTTTCAATTCATATATCTGATTTTATAATTTTTAATCATCTGTTCATCAGTTAGTTGATGCTATAAACATAACTTTTAAAAAAGTGCTCAGTGTTTTGTAACTAGGACTTTCTTACTTAAATTCCCAATAGGTGAGTGAATTATAGAAACATAAAAGTAACACCTGGCCTTCGGAGAAAAGGTCTGTCATTGAGTTGGTACGTGTCTTTTATATGAATACTATTATAATTTAAATGGATTTAAACTTGTGAATTGGTTTAATCTTAATGTTAACATACCGACAAGTTTTTTCTTTAAATATCTGTCAAGTGACAACAGGCTGATATTTGGTCAACGTTATTGTGTTCATGATTTAAAGTAATTCTTATGTAATGCCTTTTAGCATTACATAAGAATAATATTTTGTTCTGTATCTACTCTAAAAAAAACAACTTACCTAACATTTCTAAAATCAATTCATACGAACTTCATGAAAACTTCTTTTTTTTTTTGTACAGAAAGATTTTGAAAGAATTTGATTATTCGGCAAAAACAGTTACTGCCAATGAAGACGTGAAATAAACATTTAATAATATTGCCACAGAACACTAAACGCAAAGCAAAAATTTTGGGAAGAAAAGCAGTGATCTGAAATGCTAAACAATGTAAAACAAAATTCAAGACTAATTAGTTTTAATAGAATTTTCTTTTAGATTTCATGGGGGTGTTTATTCGCTTATTTGTCCTCAATATAATCAAATTTCCCACGAATTCATTATCAGTAAATATAGGTAATGTCTACATAAAATGCACCTAGGTTATATGAAATGCAACTCCACACACACCTACAAATGCACACAGAGCGTAATAAATAAAACAATTAAAACGCATTTTATCTGAATTTATATTCGATCGTTTATCGACGCCATTAACTGATAAGAATTTCACTGGGAATGATTGCAGTGTAAATTCTTTTTCATATATTATTTTTTTTTAAATATTATTGCAAATACAAATTTTCATATCTTTTTTTCAGAAGTGAATAAAATGCTTCGTATTAGAATTTTTACTAGTCAAAGACCACTGAAGAGTCAGATGTCCGAAAGAATTAACCCGTTTGCTAGGCTATGAAGACCTTTTTAGTAGGCCTAACATAGAAATAAATACGATATGGGAGACGTTAATAAAGAAAGAGAAATGACAGAGAATAGTAGAAAAGAGAAGCGTCCGTGAGTACACTCAAACAAAACAAGCAACATTAGCAACAGTCTCATCAGCAGACAGTTTAGGTTTAAGGCTCCAAGTTCTCCAGTCAGTAACAGTAGTATAGCCTGGAGAATTAAAGCTTTGGTTCGTGAGTTTGATGACATAGTAATTGTGAGTTAAAATCCCTGGATCGACTAGTGCGTACTTGAACTCTGTGGAAACAGGGTGAGCAATAACTGAGTAGTATTAAATAAAAACTAGAAGATATATCCCTAGGCATGGTTGGCGGAACGAGAATGATCTTCCTCTCTAGCTGAAATAAAGTGTTCAGTTTTAAATTCCATGGAGATTACCCAAATCGACATTCACTTGATCTGGGTAACCGAGAGTAAACAATGATAACTCTTGGACGGAAATTAAATTTTTTACGTTTTTATTTCTTTATCTCGGTGAAAAATAAATCAGTTCTCACAGTCTTATTTTCATAATGCTAAAATAAGTATAAAAAAATGTTCTATTCTTCACTACTGTCATTGGTTTCTGTTTCGAAAAATAATACTTAAAGCTCCTCACTTTACAATAAAAGTTAAGAAGAGAAAAAATAAATTCTTATTCCTACAAAAGAATTTTTTTCATTCGATTTTGTTGCGATCCCTGATTAGCTGTGAGGGACACATTTCCTTTATTTTACAAATGTTTTCTATTATAGTTCGTTATATCATACTAGCGTGGACAGAAATACAAACTAATAAGTATTTTCAGTTGCCAATTGCCCTCTGTATTTTCAAAACATAACGAAATGAGGTGCAGTTAACCAAATAATAATTCGAATTCATCACAAATTTTGAACTATTTTTGGGGGATGCCATTTTTTGTTTGTAATAGTCTTTTGGGACGTAAGAGCTTAAAATATATTGAAAGGCTAGTTGTCATAATAATAATATGTAATATTAGTTTTAACACGTTTTTTTCCATTTCACTGAAGCAGACGTTAAATACACGTGAGCATTATCGCCTCCTCTATCCTCTTGACTACAGGAGAATACCAGGTGCTCTAAGCATAGATTTGCGGCTGGTGTAATGGATTATGACTGGGAATTGTTAACCGGAGAGCCGAGTTCCAATTCCGGTTGGGTTTGTTATATTCATTTACGCATAAATACCCTTGGTAAATATATGAATACACGTCTTCTCTCCCTGTTATGGATTAATTAGTAAGACATGTATCATTAAATCATTAATATCTCCAGAAGAATTCTTACAATTCAAAAATATTTTCTGGGTTTAAATAACCTGAAAAGGGTGGATAAACCGTAAAAAACGAATCAATCAATCAATTAATTGCTTTCTCATTTCTGTTGTCCTATTCAAACGAACTGATAGACAGTTACTAACTATAGAGTGTGTGTATTTGTGTGTCTGGGTTTGTGCGTTTTTTTTTTTTTTTTGTGAGTGGGTGTGTCTATGCATGTGTTTATGTGTGGATGTTTGTGTTTGTGCTTGTGTTTGTTTGTGTAACACTAATTATTTCACCGAGTCGAGGCAGAAAGGCCAACTGATCTACAGGTAAATAACCCCGCCATTTTAAGATCATTTTGCTAGTATTATATTTTATGGTAATACAACCGTCTATATTTATAATTCGAGAATGGAACATGAAAAAGTAGACACTTTAATAATAAAAGAGAAGAACTTCGAAGTAGTGACTTGAAATTGATGAAACGAAAACATCATTAATTTTAAATTTCAACAATTTCGCAACAAAAGATATTAAGTTTTCGAAAAATATTCCTTGTTGCGGACATTACTTTTCTATTCCCCTCAATTACTTGAAATCCAAAATGTTGCTTCAAGCTAAATCTTCTTCTTTGTGCCGTTCCTCCAGGACGAAGGTGGTCATGGATCTCCACATCTTCCTGGCCTTTGTAGCACTTAGGAGTGTTTATCTTTTTACTATCTCTCCTTGTTGTGGAGTAGTTTTCACAGTGGAGGCTTGTATTTCAATAAGTCGTCCTAAATTAGGTTCAACGTACAAAACGTTAGGAACTTGGAAAATAAGAGTTAGTGACGCAGCAATCTAGTTGTGATGGTTGGTACTTCAATGTCCGATATCGACTGACTCGCTCAACACCACTTGGCCGAACTGGCGACTGCTACTACTACTTATTACTTATTATCTGTGGGAGAGTCCATTACAATAGGATAGGTAATATGGCATGACACTCCTAAACCCTGTTCTGCCAGCCATTTACACACGCTCGTTGGGTGGGTTATTCACTGCTTTCCATCTGTCCCTCGACTTCAGTATATCCGGTGAATGTTAAAATTTTCAAACCCTCTCTCCTCGTTATGTGCCCTGGAAATTTCAATCGTCACTTTCTGATTCTAAGTATAAATATCCATTTTGTTTCCATTTTCTTGAAATTTTGTCGTTAATCGCACGTTCAGTCCATGATCTTCTCTGTATTCTCAGCCTCTTCTTCATCTGTGATGAGACTGTCCAGCATACCGTCATAGAGGAGGACCGATATTAATAACAATACAGTAATCTTTTCTTTGTTGCTAACGAAATTTTCTTGTTTCTTAATAAAGTATTAAGAAACAGGAAAAAATATATAAATAACTTTTGGAAGCCATCTTTCGCTAATCCAATGAACCTTCGGATTTCGGTGTTATATTTTCCGTCTTCTGTTACTTTACAGGTTGTAATAAGATTATTATCATCATTCGACTGTAGTTAGGATTATCGAGCCAATGTGAACGATCCTTTCTTTAGCCAAGGCTTCATATAGTTTTGAATTCAGAGTTACTTTCTCCTAGACCGGTTGCCACCCAAGGCTGTAGAACCCAGTCTGCCCTCCTATTAATCCATAGCTGGTGGGGAAAAGAAGGGGATTCATACCTTTCCCAAGGTTGTTAGCACATAAGTGAATGTAATGAAACCGACTGGAATTCGAACTCGGCTCTCAGATTCATCAATCCGAGCCACTATTCATTACTCCACAGATTATTATAATTTTGACGAGTGTTTATTTAGGCCCCCGTTTTTCTATCCATCCACACAAGCTCGTCAGGTAAATGGATCACTGCCTTACCTTATCTCTCTTGCCTTCAATATGACTTGTGAGAGTTAGGTTTTCCAAGTCCTCCTTCCTTGTATATTATTATCGAATACTGCCTATAATTTTGAAGAGTAATTATCGTTATTACTGTAGCATGTGTCTCACCTCAGATGATTCCAGAATAGACCCTGCAGCCAGTGTCCTTCAGAAAAGCTAGCTGTAGGGTTTACCGCAGAGAGATAACTTCCCAGCCAGGCCTGGAGATCCACATTTCACCTGATGTCAGTGGCTGCTTTGACATGCGAAAACGTGATCGATCCAGCCGCGACTCGGATGTGTGAAAGAATAATATGTTAGACATAGAGTGGACAGTCGAATACATCTTTACGAGAATGTAGCATATACCTTTGGAGTAGGCCCCCACACGTCCACTTGCCGACGGTAATTGACAAAATCCGGAGTTGAAAAAAGTCTCGTGTTTCCGTTAATAATGCCATATGATGATATTACATTACCTACCGTATTTTGTTTACTCTATTTCCGGAAGCGGGGGAACCTCACTTTGCGGATTGTACATCTGAAGAAGGTTAAGGATTAGATAGAAACGTTATAGCAACAACCTAAACAACATGTCCTCCTCTTCTATTTCTATGTGTTGCGTCCCTTCAGGACATAGACGACCATGGTTCTTCATAACTTCCTATCTATGGCGGCTCTTAGCAATTTTTCTCTTTTTACTTCGGCACTCGTCAGGTAAGTGGCTCGCTGCCTTCCACTATCGCTCTTGCCCTCAATAGGGTAAGGTTTTCCAAGCCTTTCTTTTTCGTTATGTGTCCAAGGAAGCTCAACTATCTTTTCCTGATTCTGTTGTCATTTTATTTCTCATAGCTGTTTACAGTTTGTTCATCCCAATATAAAAAATATATATATTGCAATCACTATCGTTCAGAAAAGCTAACTGTACCCCGGAGAGATAACCTTCTAGCCGTTCTGCCATCTATTCACGCTAGATAAGTCCAAATAAATAAGACTGCGCCAATATAATCAAAAGAGTTATAGACAACGCCTTTATATGCAAGTGTAATAATATAAAGATTAGGTTACATATACCACCTGTACTTACCTTGAGGAGGTCGATAATGCAGTAATAATCCCTTGTGATATTCCATACACAAAAGGAATCGGGTTTTTCCTTGTCATAAGAAAGTAGACGAGAGGCAATATAACAAAGCCATGTCCGAGAAGACCAACAAGGACGGTGATGGTGTACATTAATAAACGGTAGAATGTGAGCTGTGGAAATTCCACTTCTACGACTTTGGCAGCAACCAGAAAGAAGATTCCGACCGGAGAATATCTGCAGAGTAAAGCAAATCATATCAATTTATATAATTACGCACAAGATTAGCCGACATTCCTCGGATTGGAAATGACATAAATCTTATCCCCTCCCCTCCCCTCCCCATAATCTTGATTCAATCAAAATTAATATATATTATTAAATATAGTTTTGTTTGTATCCAAGGCATTTCTTATGTCAGACAGATGGGAAGAAATGGTCTTAGACAGAGAGAGAGAGAGAGAGAGAGAGAGAGAGCGATGTGAGCATTGGATAGATAGATAGATAGATATTAGGTAAAGTAGATAAAATTTATAACAGAGAGTGAGACACAGGGAGAAATATGAACATGCTAAGATAGATAGAGAGAGAAAGAGAGAGAAATATGAGCATTCTAGGATAGATAGATAGATAGATAGATAGATAGATAGATAGATAGATAGATAGATATTTCTTAAATTTGGTATATGTAATACAATGTATGTAAATCTGGTGATTAGCTTATCTTCTTAGTTGTTTTACTATAAGAGCTCTTCCGTATTGAATTGTTGCTATGTCAACGCAACAAGCTAAAATAATCTGCGTCTATGTTTAGAGAACAGAGACTCTTCGGCAGACAAACTACTTTTGAGTCATCACATTTCAGACAGAACATTCTAGGACTAAATCGAACCGCCAATCAATTCAACCCGTCATGTATTTCAACTTGATCTTTTTTTCATTCAAAGGTTTTACTGTATTTCTTCTTTTTTTTCTATTTTGATTATATTTCATCAAAATATAATTATGAAACAAGTCTGATTGAATGTCGTTGCTTTTTTTTGCCACAGTTTTGTCTGCTCTATTCTGAACGATGTCTTCGAATAACGCACATTAGCTCATGTCCAGAGAAAACAAAAATTGGAAACAAGACGGTACCTTGACTTGTAATGAAAGCATGAAAATTTCACTATTTTTCGTGATTCTGTAATCGGTGGGGCGTTATGTTAAGTGTAATCAATAAATATCTATCAAATTCTCATAAAAAAAGAGTCTATATTCTCTGTGAATATGGCAGATTTTTCAATTATTAGGGAGAAGACATGAAACACTTTTTCTCGATTTGAAATCGGTATTCATATTTTTATAAAAGCTTATTGAAAATATGATGCATGTCCAAGTAACTACATCCGACCTGATTTAAAATCAAGAATTTCCTCTTGGGCGTAATCTAGGGTTACGATTTTTAACATACCTTGCACTTAAAATTGTAATTTAATTTTTCTCTCAAGAGTCTATCCTACATATCTATAAGTCTACCATTCGCCCATGTTTATAATATTGCTGCTACGTATGGTCTAGTGCTCCTGCTATATATTTAGAGATACTTGATAAAATTCAAAGTAGAATCAGCAATATTATTGGTCTCGGCTTCAGTCACTTTCCCATCGTCTTAAAGTTGCTTTCCGTTTCCTTTTCTATACATTTTTTCATGGTAATTGGTCGGATGAGCTCTTCACTATAGTACCTAGAGCTTTTGAATTTAAGCGTTCTACTAGGTTGGCGACAAGGTCTCATCATTTTACAGTTGAATTGGCTAAATTTAACCGCAATTTATATTCTAACAGTTTCTTTTCTCGCACTTCACACTTGTGGAACACTCTTCCGACTCCATGCTTCTCAACCAACTTTAATCTTCAAAAATTTAAATGCAGTGTCAACCGCTATTTAATGTCTTCCTGATTATTCTTCTACTGTTCCCACACTTTCTTAATGCTTTCTGTTTTCTAATTCTTTCACACTCAGTAACCCTTTGCGTCTTAGAGTCTTTATTGCCTTACTTGGGGTAAATCTATTTTTTTTTAAATTAAAATTTATAACATTCTATAACTTCTCTTAGATTTGCTCTTTAGTCATTTCTCTCAATTGCAGATTTAAATGATAATTTTGATAGTAATGGTAAGAATAGACGTTTCCATATAGAAAACATTCGGCATTTATTCTCCTAACAATTAGCTGTCGAAATTTATAAAATATTTTTCTTAAAACAGTTTTTTAGGAAATTAGACTTCTCAAATCCACTAAAATCTACATTTCTACTACTAATGGAAGTTTCTTTCCAAACCTTTTGTTTATGGTTGTGTAGAAACTCAACTTCCTGATTATATCATTATTTTTCACTTTAGTAACATGTCCTACACATTTTAGTTGTTGCTACTAACTGCGTTCAAGTGATGCTGTTCTGGTTATTTGGTAAATCTATTTGATATTTTATAGCACCGTTGCACATGTTCTAAAGAAGGATTGTCTTCTTTAAGACCTAAAGGATTCATTCACTTGAAGCCATGTCACTAACAAGCACTAAATTCTTTTGAGTTCTTTTAATTTCGAGATACAGTTTTATATCTATGGTATCAGGTCCTAACATTTAACATACTTATAAAGTCCGCAATATATCCACGTGATAGGAGTATCCTTTCATATCTAAACTCAGACAAGAAATTTCTGTGTATGACTATAAATAATTCTGCTTAACGAATCTTCATTCAGAGAAAAACATTCGAAAAGAAAGTTAATGACAAATTTTACTTACAGTATAACGATACGTGTAATCTTTATAGAGACTATGCTGAGGGCACCAAAGAAATCGTGTAATGGACGTCCCTGCTGACCCATGGAACTGATGACGGCTCCTATAACAACAGATGCTAAAATCAATCCCAGAAAATTAGTACCGTCTGTTTGGGTAACGAGTGGGCTGAATAGTTCACTAGTGTTGACTGAAAAAAAAAAACAGAAAAGGATCAATTTTTTAAACAATTATGTTTTTTAGGTGACAGTTTAATTTTATAATAGGAGGCATGGTTAGTTGCGTTTTCTTATAACATTATATAAAAAGTGCTACAAAAACAGATCTAATTTAACGTTTTTGATATTCTCAGCTACATTGTACAAATGATGTTAAAATGATGATATGATTCTTGAACATTAACGATTTGGCTACACATGATTTCGTATTATTTCCTTTTCACCGTAATGTTTGTAATTTTTTGCTCTGTTTTGTTAAGAAAATTGCGGACACAGTCAACATATTTACGAAGCCAGGCGTGGGAAATATCGACTTCCTCAAAAGAGCAGATTTACAACAGTAATAATTGGGAAAATATATTTAAAAATCTCTGATGCGAATAAACAAACTTCTAATAATAATAAGGACTAAACAAAACTTGAGCATTTTCTTCTTCTTCTTCTTCTTCTATGTACCGTGTTTCTTCAAGGTGTGGGCGATCATGCATGTCGAAATGTTCCTATATTTTGTAATGCGAATTAATATGTGTATTTTCAACTCACAGCCCCTTTTCTGCTATCCATTCATACAGGTAAGTCACTCGCTATTTTGTCTGCCCTTGTACTTGCTTTCAACATGCCCTGGGAGTGTCAAATTCTACCAGATCCCTTTCCTCATTATATCCTCCAAGAAATGTCAATTTTCTCTTTCTAATGTTAAGAATAAGTGTCCATTTTGTTTCTATTTTTCTTAAAACTTCTTTGTTATTCACATATTCATTCCATGGCATTCTCAGCATCCTTCTGTAGAACAACATTTCTTTTGTTTAAAGTCTCTTTCATCTGTGAAGAGATTTTGCAACATTCAATACCAGATAGGAGGAATCATTTTATATAAGAATTCACCACTTTTTTCTCTGTTTCTAATGAAATTTTCCTCTTTCTTAATGCTTGGCTTTTGGAAGGCAACTTTCGTTATTCGAATGCACCTTCGGATTTTAGCATCACATTTTCTGTCCTCTTTTAAAACGCTTCCTAGATATTAAAGTTTATCTACTAGTTTTATTTTGGCATCTCCAAATCATAGTTCGCAACTTGGGATGTTCCTTCTGCTAACAACCGTTCATTCTGTCTTCTTACAGTTCATATTTAGTTCTTTCTTCTTACTTTCCTTTACAACACTTTTTTTTCCTTCCAATGTCTGCTATCAACACTATGTCATATGAATAGCTTATGTTAAGATTGTGTCCGCCAATAATAAATGCCAGTAGGCTTGATCTCGTTATAAATTCCGCTGAGAAAACACATCCTTTTCTTAAGCACTTTCTATTTTTGTGTATTAACTAAATTTATTTTCTATCTGCATGCAGACGGTTTGCTTACAATAAAAATTCTGTATTATTTAAAATATTTTTCGCCAAAAAGAAAACAGTTTACTTGAATTTTGAGATAAAGAATTTCCATTATAAATCTTTGGTAAGGCTTTTTCATTTTCCTATAGATTTTTATCACAAGTTTCAAAGTCAAACACGCTTTGATTATTAAAGTGTTAGGTGTGTGCAAAAGTTACTAGTGCTTAATTGGAAACCGGTTTTCACGATTTTTTTTTTTTTTTTTTTGATATTCCTAACCAGTAGCCTAAGGTCTAGAATAAAGAAATAGCTTTCAGGTAGACTTAAACAAATATCCCATCTCCTGAGACCTCGTCTTATAGGAACAATTAATTCGGACACGAAAATCAACATTGTTATTACAAATTGACGATACCTAAAATCAAGCAAGAACAACAATTAGGAAGTGTTTTAACAGTGTACGTAAAGTGCGACACCGAAATCCGAAGGTGCATTAAGATAGCGAAAGATGCCTTACCAAAAGCTAAGCAAACTATTAAAGAACTGGAAAAATTTTGTTAGAAACAAAGAAAAGAGTACTGATCTGTTATGCAACATAAGTCCTCTTATATTGCAGTGAATGCTGAACAACGCCTACACAGCTGAAGAAGAAACTTGAGACGATAGAAATGTGGTTTTTCAGAAGGATAGTGAGAGTGCCAAGGACCGAACATGTGAACAACAACAAAGTTTTAGAGAAAATATGGACAAAAACGACATTCATACTTAGAATCAGGGAGAAACATTGATATTTCTAGGGCACATAATGAGGAAAGAGGGTTTGGAAAATTTGATACTCACATGACATATTAAAGGCTAGAGAGACAGGGGAAAGCAGCGAATAACCTTACCTAACCAGTTTGTGTAAATGGATGGTAGAACAGGTTTTAGGAGAGAAATCAAAAAGACAAAATTTACTAAGAGCTGCAAAGTACAGGAAATTGTGGAGAGCCATAATCGCCAACGATCTGAAGGCACGCGGCACATAGAAGAAGAAAAAAGGGATCTTAAATCTTGAGACGGATTTATAGCATCCTTCTGTAGAATCACATTTCCATTGCTTCAAGTCTCTTCTTCATCTGTGAGAAGATTGTCCAATATTCACTGTCATATAGGAAGACCGATATTACATAATAATTCAGTTTTCTTTTCTTTCTTCCTACTCCTCCCTCTCTTCATGTCATGTTGTTTATTTATTTAGTCATGGTCAAAAAAGAAATCCCCCACTTTAAAATTTATGGTCCACTGTGTCTTTAATTTGCACCTGTGAGTCATATATCAATAATTTTGCAGAATACTGTGATATTTCGTACGTAATAAAATAATACTCTTTGAGGAACTTCTTAAAATGTAGGTAAAAATAACAAACTGATAACTACTGACCTACCTTGTATAAATGTTTCTGGCAAAAGATCCAGGGTAACTGGAGTGCTGGATGTGTCAATACTGTTACCGCCACTGGTGCTGCTGCTTACGACATTCGTGCTGTTTTCGTCCGAGTATGGTGTCAAGCTGTATGACTCCAACTCAAATTCACTCGTCCCAGCCAAACTAACAGAACTTGTTGGCGACACCTCGGGCCATCTGTTTATCTTCACTTGCTGAGTAGTAAACTGTATTCAAAATATGAGCATGGTATGAATACATAGCATTTAAAACTTCAAAAATTAAAGACATTTTTAAAATCGAATATCGCAGAAAGGTCTCTTCTTATTTGATTCAAAGAATTTCAAGCATCACCTTCAGAGATATGTAAAAGACACGTTAATTTCATCCTCCCAAAAAGAATCCGGTACTGATAGATACTTCGATGGGCCTCCTCTCTTCTCTGTCTCTCTGTTTCTTTTCTCTCTCTCTCCCTCTCTCTCTCTCTCTCTCTCTATATATATATATATATATATATATATATATATATATATATATATATATATATCGATCTATCTAGCTAGCTTATGATGCCTTATCCCTTCAGGACGTAGACGATCATGACTCCACAGATTCTCTTTCTTTATTACCGTATTTCCTTGTGAATAACACGAGAAATTTTGAACGTGAATTAAAGGCAAAAAGGGGAGGGGGTCGTATTATACACAAGTTCTACACGTTTTCACATATTTCTACTCGGCTTAAAAAAACCTTTTATTTGAAAAAAGCAAGACTGCAAATATGTCCAGTTAACACAATAGAAAATAAAATAGAAAGTGTGCATGTGTTGATAACAATTGGTTACAAAAGATATTTGATATGTTGGCAATATTTGTTTCTCTCTCCATTCTTAATGAAAGACAATATTTTTTATAGTTTATTAATATATAGAAATATAATAAAACCATATTAAACAGAAAAGTATGATATATTAATTAACATCTTAAATTTCCGGCTATGTCAAATTAGCACCTTTACCTGAAAATTCGAAAATAAGTTTTGAAATTAGAAGAAACAAGTAATGGCTAAACATCCGCTTCATTTCTATTCTTTAATATCTTGAAAAATTAAATATTTTAGTGAAATATTTACACGATATTTAGATTTTAATGGATAATATACTATCATTTTTTCTGAACAAAATTACATAGGGATGGCTGTACTAGGAGGTTGTATTATACTCAAGAATGTAATTTATTCCCTGTTTTTAGCTTCAAAAATTCAGTATTATACTCAAGTCGTGTTATACACAAAAAATATGGTATCTATGAATTGTCATGGCTTTTTCTAGAAGATAGTGGGGTGTTTTCCTGTAGCCATCTTCATAATTTGGGATTCAGAGTTGTCTTTCCCTTTCACTGGTTACTGCTTAGACTAAACTCCAATCTCACTCATACCTGGGTGGTAAAAAGACGGTTTCATGCTTTTCTCAATGGTATTTGTGCGAAAGTGAACGCAAAGGACTAGTATAGAATTTGAACTCGACTCATCGATTCCACGTTATCATTTACCCTATTCGTACACCTTATACTTATTTATATTACATATATTCAATACTTCGCTAAAAAAGAGCATATCCTGATGAAAAAGCCCCCAAACTTGATAAACATTTTTTATCGTCTAAATGTTTATATTATTAAGAGGAAAGACCAGAGTATTTTTTGATTATTTTTTTAATTTTTTAATCCTTCCTAGCACGTCCGAAATTTTAGTTAGAAATCTTGTTTTTTTATGAGTCGGCAAAATTTACATAAAATCGATCATGTCAGCCATTTTTGACAACTTTGTAAACAAAATTGAAATTCTCCGTTTAAAAATCTTGTAAAATTCAATTATACTTTTTTCAAGAGTTATTTTAGGGAAATTAAAAAATTTAAAGTTTACTTAATGTAATTGAAAACAAACATTATTTAATTTTTGCAGAAAAAATTAGTTGGCAATATGAGAAGCATGTCTAACCATGGTGATTGGTTTTGGAGGTGTGAATTGACCTTTCAATGTATCGACAACTAACGTCAGGACAATTTATCGGACGGAATGAGAGAAGTGACAGTATTTTTGAATTTTAAGTGA